AAGCCCACACAAGCACAGGGAAGCCCATACAAGCACAGAACATGCAAACTCCTTCCAGATAGTGACCTGGCTGGGATTCAAACCAGCAACCGGTGCTGCGAGGCAGAAACGCTAACCACTACGCCACTGTGCTGTCAGGGAAGATGACACAATAAAGCCCAACTCTACCTAAACTGTATTCTCAATATGGGTGGCTGGGGCAAGCTTTCTTAGCTAGGGTTGCCACCTGTCCAGGATTCACCCGGACAATCCGGGTTTTGAATGCAGCTGAAACCCGGACACATGATGCCAGGCAGACGGGGGCAACCAAAATTAAGATAGGGGCTACTGGCCCCCCACTAAAAATAGTCTAGACTGTGATATTTACATATGAATGGGGGGGGGGCGCTATTTACATATGAATAAGCTGCGACTCATTCTCCCCAAACATTTCCGTGCGTCGCTACAGTGTTTGGGTTTTGCTGGAAGAAAAGGTGGCAACCCAATTCTTAGCCCACTAGTCATTACTCCTACCCTGGACTTTGGCAGGGTGATCTCCTCCCCGCAATCATGGCAGAGTCAGGCTACAAGTTCAACTTGTCAACCAAACCATTTGCTGTCACCGTAGTTACCAGTCTGTGGTTTGCTTAATGTAATAAATAATGAGCTCACTGGAGATAACACAAGAATCTAAGCTGAAATGCAAAACTCTCAGTCTGCCGCAAAAGACATTGTGGGAGGTGCAAATGACATCCATTTTGGTAGAGTTCCTCTTTAAAGAAGGAATACACGGAAGGATATGAGAGATACTATATATGTGCCATATGTACTACCAGCAAGGGGGTCCTAAAGCTACAATCACACATGTTTTTAATGCTAAAGCTCAGGATAAGGAAGCATTGTCTAAATGTATCACTCATGATGTGTTCTTCCTTGAGTCTTGGTGAGCTTTGTGTATGGTCACTGCTGCTCTCTCTCCTTGTGCAGGGTGACTGGTTTTGTCTCCGCCCCCTCCTGTAGTTTTCAGCAGGCAGCCTGTAGTGGGTGGAGCTTGCTGGGTCCCTCCCACAGCTGTGCTCTCTACACATATGTACAGCACACTGATGATATCACAGCTACTTTACAAGGTAATACCAGTGTTTGCAAAGGGAAAAAATGTATTTATATCCTTTGTGGTTATTGAGGAAAATATTTTTAAAAGAGAGCTTTTGCGTCTGAAGTCCAACTTTAAACTCTCTTAAACTGAAAACTAGTCATGGACTGGATACTTGTAAACAGGGCAAATGTTTTGAAGCCCAGTGGCGTCACAAGGGGGGTGCGGCCCGCACCTGGGTAACACCATTGGAGGGGTGACACCAAAATGACTGAGAGTCATTTTGGTGTCACCCCCTCAAAAAAGTCGGGCACTCGGTCATGGACAGAGAGCCCGACATACCTCACCCCGCCGGGTGAACGTCCCCTCCCCTCTCTGCCGGCGTCCATAACTAAAATGGTCGCCGGCAGGCGTCAATTAGATGACCGTGCATGCGCAATGACGTCACGGCGGGGTGTCACCCAGTCTCCGCTCCGGGTGACACCTGGCCTCGGGACGCCCCTGTTGACGCCAGTTGTTATCCGAGCGTTATTGCCCTGAAATACATTTAAAAATATTGCAACAGTAAGGGCCCATTCACCAGTCGCTGCGCTACATCACACAGCTGTTGGTGTGCATTGCCCAGCACAGTGCTGATGCACCAATTCTGGCCCATCTAACTGTTTTGTTTTAGAACTTTATTGAAATTTCAAACTTTATTTAGTTCCATGAGCACAGAATGGTGTAAGGCAGTTGTACCCCCCACTGTATCCCGCTGCACTGAAAAAAAGTACTGCATGAACTGTGCCCATCCAGGACATGGCAAGTTGCCTTGTCTTGCGTTGGGGCTGCGCTGGGAAAACTGTCAGAGCAGCCCCAATGCACCTAGTGGGAATGGGCCCTGGAAGCCATCATAAAACAATATCTGTGGTGTTCACACCGGCCCCATTGGGCTGTGTTCATTACCCAACTGAAGAAAAAGGCAATTTGCCTCATGCCCTATGGCTTCAGTTCACACCAATGTGCTGTGTTGGGGTGCAGGGAAGAAAAATAGAACATGTTCGTAACGTATTGCAGCAAGCTACAGTGCACAGAATGAACAGTGAAAGTGACACTAATCTTAGGAGTTAAAGGAGAACTATGAGGGGAGTGCTTTTCACTCACCTCATACCGTGTTTCCCCGAAAATAAGACACTGTCTTATATTTTTTTTTGCTCAAAAAAACACACTGGGTCTTATTTCCGGGGTGGGTCTTATTTTTTTTGATGTGCGACAATCCAAAATTAATGCAAATCCAAATTAAATCATCCAAAATGGCAAAGTTAAGAATAGGGTGATCAGGGCAATCAGGGGTGCCGTACCTTTCCAAGAGCAATTTGGTAACCGATGGCCAGAATGAGCGAAACGCACTTTCACTATCGATTCCTCACAGGCGGAGAGCATTTGTTATCACTCCGCCTGTGACAGGAGCCGATGCTATAGAGAAGGAATTGGCTTATGCGGCTCTGCTCCCTCCGCTGCCGCCTCGCTTCCTCTAGCATTGGCACCACTGATTCTCTACCGCGGCTCTTCAAGTTTCCACTTATGCCACCCCCGGCCCTGGGAAAGGTCACAACTAGGTCTTATTTTCGGGGTAGGTCTAATATATTTTAGCAATTCCCAAAAATAGTACTAGGTCTTATTTTCGGGGAAACAGGGTAGTTCTAGCTGACCTGTGACAATGAGAGTTTTACAGGTCGGCTCAGTAAATCGGGAGGTAAGCGAACACATACCGGCGTTCGCTCACCTCTCAATCCTGTCACGGCTCTCTGTCGTGACAGGGTAGGGGCTGGATTCCCCCCTCCCTGCTCCGACCCGTCAGCGCTGCCTGGCGGAACGGACGAAGGAGGGGGCGGGTACAGCTGTCAGTCACGCAGCTGGGCGGATCCAGACATAATTGTCGGGATCCGCTTCAGCTGCGGCGTCTCAGTATACCGCGAGCAGGAGCTGCAGCTCGCTGTATACTGAGCCTAGGGTGATGGGAGGATGCTAGTTTGTGTCCTCCCGTTACCCTAAGGAGAACTATGGGGAAAAGCCTTAGCCCCATAGTTCTCCTTTAAACATTAAAAATACATTCAGGTACCTTAACTATTAACAACAATGTATCTTATTTGTGTATCACTCGGCTGTAGATCCTCCAATCATCTCTGAATTGGTGCTGACAGCGTCCTTCCTTCTGGAGGGGGGCTACTTTTGTTCCCCATGGTCCCTGTGTGTGTTGTAAAGTAGTCACCGCTCCAAGATCGCTCTTCTGATGGACTACAATCTCATGTTTACTTTACTTATTTGTATTGAGATTGTAGTCCATCCCGGGAGTGAGCTTGGAGCGGTGACTACTTTACAACACACAGGGACCATGGGGAACAAAAGTAGCCCCCCTCCAGAAGGAAGGACGCTGTCAGCACCAATTCAGAGATGATTGGAGGATCTACAGCCGAGTGATACACAAATAAGATACATTGTTGTTCATAGTTAAAGGAGAACTATGAGGTGAGTGATTTTCATAGTTCGAGCCGACATGTGACAAGGAAACTGTCACAGGTCGGCTCTATAGATTGTAGACATGAGCACAACAAAAACATTTGCTTTCAGACAAAACAAATGAAAACTAAAATTGTTATGTTATTTCAGATTCGAAGGCAACAAGCCTCCGAATCCAAACACTCAAACCACAGAATGAGCAGCGGCCATACCGGCTGCCGGCATGTTCTGCGCATGCGCGTTGCCATTTTAGAGTAGATCTTGTTATACACCAAGGTGGCGGAGCCCACCATAGCCCCGCAGAGCCCGCCTGAAACTCCACGGAGCCCACCATTGCCCCGCAGAGCCCACCTGAGACTCCACAGAGCCCACCATTGCCCCGCAGAGCCCACCTGAAACGCTGGCAGAAGTGATACAGCGGGTGAATGTTACCATTTAAACAGGTGCTCACTGTATCCAGCGACCGACAGGTTATGGAAAATGTCTTAAACAGGAAGAGCTGGGGCAAGTTTAGATTGTTGGGGTGCTTGAATCTTGCCTAGGCAGCACAAAACCAAAATACACCACTGCCCATTCTATGTAAAATGTCAGTTTTAAAGTCCTTTGATTTGCCTCAGGAGCAACTCTTGTACCATTCCATCTCTGCCAGGGTCTCAGGCACCTTTCATGTAAAGTCTGAGTTATGTGAGAAAACTATCCTGGGCTGTATGTATACAATGAGGTCGGTCAGCCCGCAGCCGCTTCTTGCTTTCTCTCTAATGTTCCATTGTAAGGAGGTTCCATTGTGACATCATGTCAGTGTGTGTCCATATATGGACAGTTACGTCACTGGAGCTTCCCCGGGCGGAGATAAAAGCAGCCGGAGTCTCCTGACAGAGCATCGAGATTGAGAGAGAAGAGAGATAATTCATTTGCCACCTCCCTGGAGGGATCGGACTTCTTTCCTCCCACTTCTATTCTTCATCCCCCGGGGCACGGCGAATACCCACACCCCTCCGCGCCCCTATACACCCCACAATATCTACCTGCCTCCTCCTGGGGTAGATCTGACAGCGGCACCTCACCTGTTGCACATCTCATGCACCTTCCCAGATCTTCCAGCCTGCACATGGAAGACGCCACTGTTCGCTACTTGCCCCCTGTTCTCTCATTTTTTGCCTAGATCGCACATTCCACCATCTTATGGGGTAGCATTTCTGATTTCGTCGGCTCCATCCTTCATTCCTCCATTTCACTACTACCCCTTACTTGTCGGTGAATCCGGTGGATCGGGCACATGTATGGGGCAAACGTGACGGCCATCTGCACTATGGAGCACAGTCAGTGCCCCCTCTGATCTCTGTCCGGGGGTACATAACACGGGGGGCAGAGCTCTGATTATAGGCAGATTTTGGGGATCCCTCTCGCAGAACTTGTCCGTCTCTTTTCTGGAAGGTGGGGTATCTCCACCAGCGATCCCATCCTGCCCCGCTGTGGCCGGTGCTATGACCGGAAAGCTGCTGGATAAACTCCCGGTGAACATGACATCGCTTCTACCGGACAGTCTGTACGCCGAGGAGGGGCAAGACCTGTCAGGAGCTCTGTCCATCTACCCCGGTGGGGGCAACGAGCAGCACTACTCCGCCATGTCTTCAGGTAAGTGACGCTAAAGAGCGATTTAAAGCATAAGAGATGCAAAGCTTATAACCGCATGAAACGCTGATTGTGGCCAGACATTCAACCTGGGAAGCGTTTTATCATGTCACAGTCACTGTGGGTCCTCTGTCACTTCAGATTTGGTATATGTGATAGGTAATGGTGACAGATATAGGTAGAGGTGAGAGTGATAGGTATGGGTGACAGTGATAGGTACAGGTGACAGTGATAGGTACAGGTGAGAGTGATAGGTATGGGTGGCAGTGATAGGTATGGGTGGCAGTGATAGGTATGGGTGACAGTGATAGGTACAGGTGACAGTGATAGGTAATGGTGACAGTGATAGGTAATGGTGACAGTGATAGATATGGGTGACAGTGATAGGTAATGGGGAGAGTGATAGGTTTGGGTGACAGTGATGGGTATGGGTGACAGTGATGGGTATGGGTGACAGTGACATAGATATGATAGAGATAGTTAGAGGTGGCACTGATGGGTATGGGTGACAGTGATGGGTAGAGGTGACACTGATGGGTTGACTGTGATGGGTAGAGGTGACAGTGATGGGTATGGGTGACACTGATGGGTAGAGGTGACACTGATGGGTTGAAAGTGATGGGTAGAGGTGACAGTGATGGGTATGGGTGACAGTGATGGGTATGGGTGACAGTGATGGGTAGATATGATAAAGATAGTTAGAGGTGCCAGTTATAGGTAGAGTCGAAACTGATGGGTATGAGTGACATGATAGGTAGAGGTGACACTGATGGGTATGGGTGCCAGTGATGGGTAGAGGTCGCAGTCATGTAGGTGCCAGAGATCGGTAGACGTGACAGTGATAGGTAGAGCTGACACTGTTTTGAGGTGCTAGAGATAGGCAGAAGTGCCAGTGATGGGCAGAGGTGCCAGGGATGGGCAGAGGTGCCAGTGATGGGCAGGCAGAGGTGCCAGTGATGGGCAGGGATTCCAGTGATGGGCAGAGGTGTCAGTAATGGGCAGGCAGAGGTGCCAGTGATGGGCAGAGGTGTCAATGTAGGGCAGAGGTCCCAGTGATGGGCAGAGGTGCCAATGTAGGGCAGAGGTCCCAGTGATGGGCAGAGGTGTCAATGTAGGGCAGAGGTCCCAGTGATGGGCAGAGGTGCCAGTGATGGGCAGAGATCCCAGTGATGGGCAGAGGTCCCTGTGATGGGTACCTTGTGTCAGTGATGGGCAGAGGTCCCAGTGATGGGCAGAGGTACCAGCGATGGGCAGAGGTGCCAATGTCGGATGTTCATACATTATGAATGGAGTGTTGGAAAGTAAACAATGAAGGACATTCCATGTATTGTGTCCCCGGCATTGAGGATGCATTGAGGTTCAGCTCTGCCATACACGTTACATTGTATCATCGTCAAGTTTTGTTCTGTGTCGGAATGTTACCTGCGAGTCACCCATTGGCTACTATAGACATTCCTGGTCACTGCCTCCAGGATTCAGGAATGTCATGGAGACATCCTCCTCCTCTCATTGATTTGTTGGATGTATGACATGTAATGTTACAGATTATGCCCCGGTCCCTCTCTCTGAGTTTATTGCGCTCACAGATAACCAATCCAGAGTGTCAGCCCCTGACCCTGCGCATTGTGATGTCCCAAATACAAGGTAACCCCTATATCTGATACCCGGGTACCCCGACCACTAGAGGTAACCCATCTCCAGAGTGCTCCATGGCTGTGACAGCTGCACAATTCCCCTTCAGACGCTGAAAACGTCACATTGTGGGGGAAGGAAGTCTTTAAATATGGTTGCGGAGTCATCTACAGCTCTTCCTATCCAAAGGGTCCGAACGGCTTCGTTACAAGTCAGCTGTAAGCACTTTAGAGGGACGCAACAGAATGGATTCATATCCAGCAGGCTGAGACTTCAATTACAACAAAGTATCCTAATCCTCCCCGAGTGCCCCAATCCTCCCGAGTGCCCCAATCCTCCCCGAGTATCCCAATCCTCCCCGAGTATCCCAATCCTCCCCGAGTATCCCAATCCTCCCCGAGTGTCCCTATCCTCCCCGAGTGCCCCAATCCTCCCGAGTGCCCCAATCCTCCCCGAGTATCCCAATACTCCCCGAGTGCCCCTATCCTCCCGAGTATCCCAATCCTCCCCGAGTATCCCAATCCTCCCCGAGTGTCCCTATCCTCCCCGAGTGCCCCAATCCTCCCGAGTGCCCCAATCCTCCCCGAGTATCCCAATACTCCCCGAGTGCCCCTATCCTCCCGAGTATCCCAATCCTCCCCGAGTATCCCAATCCTCCCCGAGTGTCCCTATCCTCCCCGAGTGCCCCAATCCTCCCGAGTGCCCCAATCCTCCCCGAGTATCCCAATACTCCCCGAGTGCCCCTATCCTCCCGAGTATCCCAATCCTCCCCGAGTATCCCAATCCTCCCCGAGTGTCCCTATCCTCCCCGAGTGCCCCAATCCTCCCGAGTGCCCCAATCCTCCCCGAGTATCCCAATACTCCCCGAGTGCCCCTATCCTCCCGAGTATCCCAATCCTCCCCGAGTATCCCAATCCTCCCCGAGTGTCCCTATCCTCCCCGAGTGCCCCAATCCTCCCGAGTGCCCCAATCCTCCCCGAGTATCCCAATACTCCCCGAGTGCCCCTATCCTCCCGAGTATCCCAATCCTCCCCGAGTATCCCAATCCTCCCCGAGTGTCCCTATCCTCCCCGAGTGCCCCAATCCTCCCGAGTGCCCCAATCCTCCCCGAGTATCCCAATACTCCCCGAGTGCCCCTATCCTCCCGAGTATCCCAATCCTCCCCGAGTATCCCAATCCTCCCCGAGTGTCCCTATCCTCCCCGAGTGCCCCAATCCTCCCGAGTGCCCCAATCCTCCCCGAGTATCCCAATACTCCCCGAGTGCCCCTATCCTCCCGAGTATCCCAATCCTCCCCGAGTATCCCAATCCTCCCCGAGTGTCCCTATCCTCCCCGAGTGCCCCAATCCTCCCGAGTGCCCCAATCCTCCCCGAGTATCCCAATACTCCCCGAGTGCCCCTATCCTCCCGAGTATCCCAATCCTCCCCGAGTATCCCAATCCTCCCCGAGTGTCCCTATCCTCCCCGAGTGCCCCAATCCTCCCGAGTGCCCCAATCCTCCCCGAGTATCCCAATACTCCCCGAGTGCCCCTATCCTCCCGAGTATCCCAATCCTCCCCGAGTATCCCAATCCTCCCCGAGTGTCCCTATCCTCCCCGAGTGCCCCAATCCTCCCGAGTGCCCCAATCCTCCCCGAGTATCCCAATACTCCCCGAGTGCCCCTATCCTCCCGAGTATCCCAATCCTCCCCGAGTATCCCAATCCTCCCCGAGTGTCCCTATCCTCCCCGAGTGCCCCAATCCTCCCGAGTGCCCCAATCCTCCCCGAGTATCCCAATACTCCCCGAGTGCCCCTATCCTCCCGAGTATCCCAATCCTCCCCGAGTATCCCAATCCTCCCCGAGTGTCCCTATCCTCCCCGAGTGCCCCAATCCTCCCGAGTGCCCCAATCCTCCCCGAGTATCCCAATACTCCCCGAGTGCCCCTATCCTCCCGAGTATCCCAATCCTCCCCGAGTATCCCAATCCTCCCCGAGTGTCCCTATCCTCCCCGAGTGCCCCAATCCTCCCGAGTGCCCCAATCCTCCCCGAGTATCCCAATACTCCCCGAGTGCCCCTATCCTCCCGAGTATCCCAATCCTCCCCGAGTATCCCAATCCTCCCCGAGTGTCCCTATCCTCCCCGAGTGCCCCAATCCTCCCGAGTGCCCCAATCCTCCCCGAGTATCCCAATACTCCCCGAGTGCCCCTATCCTCCCGAGTATCCCAATCCTCCCCGAGTATCCCAATCCTCCCCGAGTGTCCCTATCCTCCCCGAGTGCCCCAATCCTCCCGAGTGCCCCAATCCTCCCCGAGTATCCCAATACTCCCCGAGTGCCCCTATCCTCCCGAGTATCCCAATCCTCCCCGAGTATCCCAATCCTCCCCGAGTGTCCCTATCCTCCCCGAGTGCCCCAATCCTCCCGAGTGCCCCAATCCTCCCCGAGTATCCCAATACTCCCCGAGTGCCCCTATCCTCCCGAGTATCCCAATCCTCCCCGAGTATCCCAATCCTCCCCGAGTGTCCCTATCCTCCCCGAGTGCCCCAATCCTCCCGAGTGCCCCAATCCTCCCCGAGTATCCCAATACTCCCCGAGTGCCCCTATCCTCCCGAGTATCCCAATCCTCCCCGAGTATCCCAATCCTCCCCGAGTGTCCCAATCCTCCCCGAGTGCCCCAGTCCTCCCCGAGTGCCCCAGATGGCAAAACAAACTCTCCACAGCAAGTGAGAGAGAAACTCCCGCGGGCAATGCTTCCCAGCCCCGAGCACAGCACAGGGTACCAGGAGGAGGCAGATATCCCAAAGTTCAGCGAACTCCACCAATGCATGTGCATGTAGCTCAGCAAATACACAGAACTCCACCAATACGTACATGTGCATGTAGCTCAGCAAAGGACACAGAACTCCACCAATACGTGAAGCTCAGCAAAGGACACATTATATTTCACATTTCATAGATTGATCGTTTCCTGCACTGTACTTTGTCAAAGCGATGCACCTGCCACAGTATATAGGCAGCACACAGGCTGATCCTGCAGTCTTGATATGTATTCATCTCCAAAATACGCCCCTTCCTCACCAATAACACAGCAAAATGACTCATCCACTCCCTTGTTATCTCTCGTCTTGACTATTGCAACTCCCTCCTCATTGGCCTTCCTCTACACAGGCTCCTCCCCCCTTCAGTCTATCATGAATGCAGCTGCCAGACTCATCCACCTAACCAACCTCTCAGTGTCTGCAACCTCCCTCTGCCAATCCCTCCACTGGCTTCCATACACCGCCCCCTCTGTCGATCCCTCCACTGGCTTCCAATAGCCCAAAGGATAAAATTCAAAATATTAGCAATCAGTTACAAAACCATCCACAACTCCGCCCCCGGCTATATCTCCAAC